GAACAGAAAGAGGCCAAGCTTTAGAAGCTTTCTTGTTTATATTTCGGCCAGGCTGGGATAGGCTAGGGGATATGATATTTCAATGCACTGACTTTAATAGGATAAGATGTTGGCTAATATGATCAGCATGAGATGAGATTGAGGTGATCTCAGGGCTTGGGGCGGGGGTGGGGGGGGAATAAAACCAGTCACTAAAGTGACAGTTTAATTATGAAAGAATGGGACCAGCTGAGGGAGTGCAAATGCCTTCCCTGAAGCAGTGACCTTGGAAATTCCACATTTTCTCTTCCAACTTCTAGATGTTTTTTTCTGAAATTAAATGTTATGTTATGAATCTTTTACTAAACACAGCTCATCTCTTTGGAACAGATAGAGGGATCTGAGTTTGAGTCCCAACGAGGCCATCTTTGGGCTGGGTAACATTTAACAAGTTTCTTTGCCTCTCTGCACATAGGTTTCTTCATCTGTACAGGGTTTAAATGTCTAATAATTGAAGAGCTATCACCCACATAAATTAACACACTCTCTCTCTCGCTTTTTTTTTTTTTTTAAGGAATACAACATTTATTTCTACAAGTTCCACACATACTCACTGGCCAGGGTCAAACGCAAGCTGCCTTGTTCTCTACAAGAGTAGTGAGGAGTACCTTTGAGATGCCTTCCAGCTCTTGCTAACCATAATGAGAAGATAGCACCAATGTCAGTAAGACAGTGCCCAAGATGATTCAAAATTCTGGGGTAACTTATTATATACAAGTTTACAACGAATATATATTTTATTATGAAGATTCAGGTGCTTCTGTAACAGAAACTTAAAATGTTGGAGTGGTTTTGGAACTGGGTAGGGAGAGAGGCTGTTAGGACTTGGGGGATAGTGTTAGCAAAAGCCTGAAGAGTCTTGAAGAAATTGTGAGCACAATCCTGATGGCTTTTGAGAAAGCTGTAGATGAAGGGGTAGGGAAATATTGAAAACAGGAGGAAAATGGTCTCTATAATGTCGTGGCAGGAAGTTTAGTAACACTGTCACCTGTAGGAATGTGTAAGGTAGAAAAATGTGTCTAATTGCATGTTCTAGCTAAGTGGATTTCCAGGTAGAGTGCTGAAGGTGCTGACCAATGTCTTCTTCCCTATTACAGAACAATGTGAGAAGAAAGAAAGAAAAAAAAAATCCAGAGAAGGACTAAAAAGAAAAATCCAGAACTTGCTAGACTTGAAAATTCTCATCTTCTCTAGATGAGGAATAATGCTAAAATGAAGAAATGGTTTCCAGTCAAAAATAAACTCTAGTATCCTGTAGGGAGCACACTGTCAAATGACAAAGCTGAGAGCGTAGCTATAAAACCCTTTGTTTGGACCTCAAAAAGATCTACAGCAGTAATTCAGAGAATCATTCAAACAACAGGGATTCAAAGAAGCTGATGAGTGTAGTATCTAAGTAGCTTCTGCAGAGGGACTTTTAAAAGTAGTGAAGGGCTTATCCAGAGAGACCTGTGGGTATGGCTTCTGAGGAATGGAGTGGTGCCTCAATTACCTTCATAGGAGACTCACAATATTTGGAAAGATTCATACTGAGAGAAGCACTGCCAGCGTGGACTGAAGGGGACAGAGTCAGGATGAAACCTAAAGGGACCTTTTAACTCCCTAAATTCTACTGGTAGGAAGTAGACTGATAAACTACTTAGCTGCAAACATGGAAGACAGAAAAAGGGAGGATGACTCAGAGAGTGGAATCAAGAGCCCAAAGAGTAAAGTCAAAAGCCACGGAGAACCGTTCCCCAGCATGAGTAGGACTGAGCCCAATTAAGGAATTTCTAACCTGTTTCCAAATGGATTTCAGGCTTGCTATGGACCAATGACTCTTTTGCATCTCCTATCTTTTCTCCTTTTTGAACAGGAGTGTCTGTACTAGTTATCTTAAGCTTGCCACACATTGTAAGTTGGATGCAGGAACTTAATTATTCAGATGAAGAGGACCTATACTTTAGGAACTGCATTTAAGACACAAGAAGCTTCATCCCCAGCTGTACCTGATTTAAATAATAAAATTTGGACTTTGAGCTGATGATGTAATGGGTTGAGATTTTAGGGGCTCTTGGGAGGAAGTAGACTTATATTGCATATAAGAGAGATGTGAATCATTAGAGGCCAAAGGGCAGACTATGGTAGTCAGCATCAAAGATGGCTCCAAAGATTCCCACTCTTGACATTCATGCCCTTGTGTAGTATCCTCCCACGATGAATACGGCTGATCTCTGTAACAGAGAGACTATGTTGGAACTGATGATGTGTGACTTCTGAGCTTAGAGCATAAAAGACATTGCATCTTCTACCTTGCCCTCTCTTGGATCATCACTAGCTTTGCAAGAATTCAGCTGCCATGTTGTGAGGATGCTCGAGCAGCCCAATAGAAAGTGGTCGGCCTTCCCGCCAATAGCTATGTAAGTAAGCCATCTTGAAAGCAAATCTTACTTTTCTAGTTAAGCCTTTAAGTGACTATAGCCCCAGGTAACGTCTTCACTGAAATCTCTTAAAAGATTATGAGTTAGACCACCTAGCTAAGCCACTCCCATATTCCTGGCTCACAGAAATTATGCGAGATAATTAATATTTATTGTTTTAAGCTGTTACTTTTTGAGGTAATTTTCTATGCAATTATAGATTATATAACAAAGTTTCTATCTCTGAATGCTACCAAAGATTCATGGGGAAATCAACCCATTCTGATTTCTGTGCAGAGCAGTACAGAAGGTCTGTCTCCCTGAGTCTGCCACACCTCATTGCCAGAATTTTATGAAGTCCGTTTTTAACAGTTCCATCAGCATCTTCCTCTTACCATAGAGGGTTCAAAGAAAAGATTGTGAAGTGTTCGATACTGAACAGCATAGTACAATCTTTTCACTTTCTGTCAGATAAAATTAAGAACAAACAACAACAACAATATGACCAAAAAAAGGATACCCATCCCTCCCTACCAAACAGCCTGGACACAAAATGTTCTTTTAAGACATTAAAAAATGTTTTCATTGAAAAAATATTTTCTAAATGTGATAACATTATGTTTGCATAGGCTGTCATTTCCTTTTAAGCTCGGGGTGGTGGAAACAGCCAAGCAAGAAACACTATTCACTAGGTATATTAATGTTGATATTTGAGTTGACATTTGTTGAATTTTTTTTTTCCAAATGGTGCATCAGTCCCTGTTTCAAATGCAGACATAGAATTAATTTCCAAAGAAATGAACTGGAGAAAATAGAAATGAATATGGAATCAGAACAAAACAAACCTTCTGATTCTGCCCCCCACCCCAACAGCCCAATATTCTATAGAATTGTTCTGAGGTTTAAAAAAACAAAAGATTTCAAAAATATAAATCTTTGACAAAAGCTGCACATGGATTAAGCATACATTATACATGTGGAGACATTGAAAATTATTTTAAATGATTTCTACCCCACCCCACGCCCTTGCATTTTTGCGAAAATCATATGGAAATTCTAGCTCAAAATTACCTAAGGGAAGTCAATGGAAAACAAACACTACTCCATTCCCCTCCATTCTGCTCAACCACACCTCAGCCTCAACCTGGACAAGTTCAAAATGCCCTTTTCCTCTCCTAAATACAAAACAAAAGCTCCAAAAAAAAAAAAAAAATGGGATGGATGTAGGGGTTGTTTGTACTACCAGCAGCCAGCCAAAAATGCCTAATGTGTTAAAAATACGTTATGGGGCACCTGGCTGACTCAGAGATGAAGCCTGCAACTCTTTATCTCAGGGTGGTGAGTCTGAGCCCAACTCGGGGTGTAGAGATTACTTAAATAAACACATCTTTTAAAAAGTGTTTAAAAAGTCCTTCAAAGGGTCATTATATGCACTACATATAATTTGTTCTAATAACAGTAGTTAAAATCTAGTGAATACTTCCAGAAGACAGGCACCTTTACATTTCATTCACAAAGGAGCGCCATCAGGTAGATATTACCATTATTTCCATTTTACCTATTTTCTTTTTAAGAAGTGGAGAACGGAATGATCAATTAACGTCTCCATAGTCACAAAGCCAATTAAATTGTGGCACCAAGATTTGGGAGCCTTCAAGAGAGGATCTTCCAAAACCAGCTTTTAAAACGACACAAAAAGATCTGGCCTGATTCTTGGCGCTTCAGTGGTTGGTTAATAAATAACAGTCCTTTTCATTTCTCTTGGAACCCAGTCTGGATCTAGGTTGTCTCCTTACATAAAGGAAAATGAATGCACGTTGGAAGTCTCACTGGACAAATCCTCTCTCGCCACCTACTTCACCAGACATCTCAGAGGAGCCCAAGGCAAGCTCTCAGAAAACGGCATAGAGGTTGCCACCCTCGAGATTCCAAGCCCCTAAGAAGCAGGAATGCAAATAGACTTCGCAAACAGACAAAGCGTAGTATTGCTTTAGATCGAAAACGTCTGTTTGCAGAGCCTGACTCTGAAACTCCCTGAGCCTGGGAGAACAAACACAACCCTTCCCGGGGCCGTCTGAAAATCCCAGAGATCAGGTACAGTCTGGTAAAACAACAACAACAACAAAAAAAAACCTAGCCAGTCCCGGCACCTTGCTGAACACCTGGCGGTGGGGGCTGGGACGGGCGGCGACGGACTGTCGGGACAGAGACTGACATGCACGCGTACACCTGCCTCGCAGCCTTGAGAAGTCAGGTGGACACCTCCCCGGCCCTGGGAGGCGGAGCCCGACTCCCGCCTCGGGAGCGAGCGGGAGACCTCCTCCATCCTCCCCCTCCTTCCGCGGCTGCCGAGCGTCCCCTACCCCGCCACCCCCTCCCCCGGCCGCGGAACGCGGAAAAGGGCCCTTGCCACTTTAAATGACTCAGGAAGTGAAAGGAGGCCGCCGGCAGCGAAAGGGAAAGCGGAACCGGGGCGGCTGGGCCAGCGGCGAGGCGATCTCGCCGGGGGCAGCGCGAAGCAAGGCGGCGCGCAGCGCGGGGGCCGACGGGGGCGCGGGCCCGCCGCGCCGGAAGTGCCCGCGCCGGCGGAGGAAGCGCAGCGGGTGCTGAGCGGCGGAGCCGGCGGGAAGGCCTCTCGCTCCTCCGCCCGGCAGGGTCTGGCGGGAGCCGGCGGCAGTGGCGCCGCGGCCTCAAGCCGGCCCCGATACCCGGCGCAGCCAGTGCCCGGGACGGGACCCGGGCGGCGCGGAGATCGGGAGGAAGCCGCGAGGAGCCCCGGCGCCGAGCTCCGAGGCCCAGCGGCCTGGGCCGCGTCACCGCAGCCACATGGCCTCGGGAGGGGGCGCGGCCTTCGAGGAGCTGCCGCACGACGGCACGTGTGACGAGTGCGAACCCGACGAGGCCCCGGGGGCCGAGGAAGTGTGCCGAGAGTGCGCCTTCTGCTACTGCCCCCGCCACGCCGAGGCGCACGGGCAGAAGTTCCCCAGCCACCATCTGACCCCGTACGTCCACGGCGCTGCCCAGGCCTGGACCGCCGGGGCCCCGGGGCAGGGTGACGCGAAGGAAGAAGCCGGGGCCAAGGTGGAGAATGAGCGGGATCTAGAGAGCGAGGTGGGGGAGGAGAGCGAGTCCGAGGAAGACAGTGAATCAGAAGAAGAGAGCGAGACAGAGGAAGAGAGTGAGGATGAGAGCGATGAGGAGAGTGAAGAGGACAGTGAGGAGGAGATGGAGGATGAGCAAGAGAGCGAAGCAGAGGAAGACAACCAAGAAGGAGAATCCGAGGCGGAGGGAGAAACGGAGGCAGAAAGTGAGTTTGACCCAGAAATAGAAATGGAAGCGGAGAGAGTGGCCAAGAGGAAGTGTCCGGACCATGGGCTCGATTTGAGCACCTATTGCCAGGAAGATAAGCAGCTCATCTGTGTCCTGTGCCCTGTCATTGGGACTCACCAGGGCCACCAGCTCTCCACCCTAGACGAAGCCTTCGAAGAACTAAGAGTAAGTATTGGGCATTCAGAACATAGACCTAGAGGTCAGGACACCTGGGTTTCAGCTCACGTGGCCTGCTTGTGGCCACATTTGCCTTCACCATGACCTTAAAAAGCTAGTGTAGTCAACTTAATTGAGGCAGGGCTTACCCTCTTTCGGGTTGAACTCATTTGAGAATCAGTTGCAAGTTCTGGACTCTGACTCGAGGAAAATATATGTACACACGAAGCCTCGTGTATGATTTCTGGAAAATTGCAAGCCTCTGGTCCGTGGATCCCAGTTAAAGCATTCTTTGGGAGTGTTGACCCCATAAGCCAATTCCCACAGCATCACCGTTGTTGAGACTAGTGCCTGGACCTGGTAAGGCAGTCTCTTTGCCTCCTTGAGAATATGGGAAACTGTGCTTCAGCCAGTGAAACCAAACAGACGGTTCCTTTGTAGTGAAGAGGTGGTGGTTTCCATATTAAGGTCCTATGTGTCTCCGGTTTCTTTTAGCTTCTCCATGTGTGATAATTGTTTGGAAAGGAGGATGAGAGGTTGGAGACAAACTTAGAATGGGAATGGGAGTTCCTGTGTCCTCCATCTTTGGCAGGGGGACAGGACCTTCCTCTCTCTTGGACCTTGCTGATCTCCTAGAACAGTGTTTGGAAAGTCGTAGACATTATTAAATATTTTTTGGGCGAACAAATTTGCAAATGATTTGCCTTTTGTTTATGGTGTGGATGTTTGTAGTCAGTGAGAGAAATTGCTGGAGTTAACCAGGGAGGAAAGTTGGAGCAGAGTGACCAGTTCATTAGTGAATGTTGTCATAGTATGAGGACTTTTGTTTCCCTAAGCAACCTTGCAATTACTGGCACTGGGATAATAAATAGTTTGTTAACAAAAATCTCAACACAGGAGATTGTATTTTTTTAATTGTAAAATACACAAAGTGTATAAAATCATATGCACAGTCTAACAAAAAATTATAAAGCAAATTCTGATGTACTCTCTACCCAGATTAAGACATAGAATATTAGTATCAATATTGAAGACCTCTGCTCTTTCCAATCATAACCATTTCCCTTCCCCATAGGAAACCATTTTCTGGACTTCTGTGGTAATATTTCCTTACTTATCTTTATACTTTTATCGCATATGTAGGCATTCCTAAACTTACTTGAGCTTGACACAGTTGATGTCGTATTGTGCGTTCTTATGGGTTTTGCTTCATTATTTTCAGCATTGTGTTTGTGAGATTCATCCAGCGGGTAGCTGTGGTTTGTTCATTTTCATTGTGTAGAGTTCCATTTTATGATTATGCCACAAATCACCTATTCTGTCAGTGATGAGCATTCCATTTCCAGATTCTGAGGTTTCTGCCTATTATAAACAATATTGGTAGAGGCATTCTTGTTCTTTTCTCCTGGTGAACATCTTCATATATTTAAATGAAATGTAAACCTAGGAGTGAGATTGCTGGGTCACAGACTGGGCATGTCTTAAATAGCACCAGATTTTGCCAACTGTTTTCCAAAGTGGTTGTACCAGTTTGCATTGCCATGAAGAGTGTATGAGAGTTCCTGTTCTGTATCATCACCAGCACTTGATATTGGAGAGTTTAAAAAAAATTTTTTTTAACGTTTTTTTAAAGAATTTATTTATTTGACAGACAGAGATCACTAGTAGGCAGAGAGGCAGGCATAGAGAGAGAGGGGGAAGCAGGCTCCCTGCTGAACAGAGAGCCCAATGTGGGGCTTGATCCCAGGACCCTGGGATCATGACCTGAGCCAAAGGCAGAGGCTTTAACGCACTGAGCCACCCAGGCGCTCCAAGAATTAAAATTTTTGTCAATTTTGTGGATATGTATATCTTCTTGTGGTTTAATTTGCATTCCCCTAGTTACTCAGGACTTTGTGTATCTTTTGTATCTCACCTTTTGTGAAGTGCCTCATTCAGGGTTTTTTGTTCATTTTTCTCTTCGGTGGTCTGTCTTTCTCATTGACTTATAGAAGTTTATTCTGACTTCTTTGTTGTTTCTGTGGGTTGCAAATATCTTCTAGTCTGTTGTTTTTTTTTTTTTTTAATTGTGCCTTGAGTAGAAGCTCTTCATGTTAATGTAGTAGAATTTATCAATAATTGTCTTTATTGTTAGTGCTTTTTGTGTCTTGTTCCACTTAGTATTGATTTTCCCGTAGTGGAAATAGGGGCTCAATTTCATTTTTTCCCCTTGCAGGTAGCCAATTGCCCTAGCAGCATTTATTGAAAAGCTTGTCTTTTCTACACGGATCTGCTGTGCGCGTGTCCATATGCCTGTGAATGTGTTTCTTGGGTCTTCTGTTCTGTACCATTGATCTGTTAGTGTATCTCTGTGTGAAAAACATGTTTTCTTGGTTACCATAGCTTTGTAACATGTCTTAGTATCTGGTAGAGCAAGTCCTTCTATTTTGTTCTTCTAGAAGAGTGTCTCAGCCAGTTTTGGCCTTTTACATTTCTTAGGAGCATACTATAAAGTTGTATTAAGAAAGCCTGCAGAATGTTTTTTGTATTGCCTTGAGTTTATAAACCAATATATAGAGAATTAATACCATTCCAAGATAAAGTCTTCTCATATATTTACGTCTAAATTGCCTCATGATAAAGTTTTATCATTTTTTTTTTTTTCTGAAGGAACTTGTACATCATTTTGAAATTTATTCCTGGATACTTAAAATTTTATAGTATTGTAAAAAAAATTAAAAACTTTTGTTTTCTAACTGTATATAGGAAAATGATAACTTTTATGTATTTTGTGTTAAGATGTCTGCTGAATTCTCATAAATATTCTAATGTGTAGATTCATTCTACGTACATGATCATATTATCTGCAGAGAGGGACAGTTTTTGTTCTTTCCAATCCTTATATATGTTGTTTTTTTCTTGCCCTACTTTAGATAGGACCTCCAGTATAATGTTGAATAGAAGTGATAGTGGGTATTCTGACTTGGTTTTAACTGATGAATAATTTACAACATTTCACACTTAAGTGTGATAGTGGTTTGCTTTTTTTCACAGATATATTTCATCAGGATAGGAAAATTCCCTTTAATCTTAGCTTGGGAGTTTTTCTTAATTTTGAGTGGCTACTGAATTTTGTCAGGTGATTTTCCTGCATTTATTGGGGTGTTCATTTGATTTTACTCTTTTACTTATGTAGGTTAATGTGGTGAATTATGTTAATTGATTTTTTTAAATTTAAAAATCAGTAGTATGTTCACATGTCTCAGAAGTCTCTAGTTCACCTTTGTCTTTTTCACCTGATTTTGTCCCCAACAACTATTAGTAACCACTTTTATTAGGTTTTTGCTCATCTTTCAAATGTTTCTTCTTGTTTTTGTACACAAAAACACGGGGTGGGGTGTGAAGGGTCTTATTTCCGTCCCTTTACATTACTGTATTTTACAATTAAAGCAGTTTTCATTTCTGGAATAAATGCAACTTGGTCATGGTGAAGTATCTTCATGTTTTAAAATTTGGTTTATTAATAATTTATGTAGGATTTTTTTCATTTTTATTTACGGGAGAAATTAGCTTGTAAATTTTCTTTTCTGTACTGCCTGTATGAGATTTTGCTATCAGGGTTATGTTGGCTTCGTAGTATGAGGCATTGTGTGTTGCTTCTCACATAGATTCTCTCTTTTAATGCTCTGGAAGTGTTTGTATAAGATTGATTGGTATGTCGTCTGGATCTGAAAAGAGAAAGAGATAATTTTGTTACTTTGTTTTCTACTGTATTTTTGATGATGAATTCAATTTCTTTAATGGTTGTAGGTCTATCCAAGTTGTCTATTTTTCCTTAGGTCAGTTTTGATAAGTTACATTTTCCCAGAAGTTTGTCCATTTTTAACTTTTCATGTTTAACTTTTCAAATGTATTAGTATAAATTTGTGAACCATATTGTCTTACTATCTTTCTTTTTCGTACTGTAGCTATCCTCTTTATTCCTGTAAGAACCGTAAGCCTGTTGGTCATAATCTGTCTTTGATAATTCCAGTATATGAAGACTTTGTAGGTCTCATCTGCTGTTTGTTTGTTTGTTTGTTTTAAGATTTTATTTATTTACTTGACAGAGAGAGAGAGAGAGATCATAAGTAGGCAGAGAGGCAGGCAGAGAGAGAGAGAGGGAGAAGCAGGCTTCCTGCTGAGCAGAGAGCCCAATGAGGGGCTCCATCCCAGGATCCTGAGATCACGACCTGAGCCCAAGGCAGAGGCTTAATCCACTGAGCCACCCAGGTGCCCCTCTGCTGTTGTTTTTGATGGTATTTTTCATGTTTTTTTCATGTCCTTTTGTGTTATGTTTGCACAGCTCTTCATTGCCTTTGAAAAATTATTTGTGGGGATTTCCCAAGCCTTGGCATGAAGCTGTATTCTTCGAAAGAGGATTGAGTTTGCTTGTGCTAAGGCCTGAGAGTACAATTTGTTTGGAACCCCCTTTAAACTAAATGAATTGCTCGAGATTTCACGGATCAAATTTTCAGGAGGTACCTGCCCAAGTTTACAACTTCTTAAAGATTTCATTTTCAGGGTGTTTGGTGGCTCATTCGCTCAGGTCATGATCCCAGGGTCCTGGGATCAAGCCCCGCATCAGGCTCCCTGCTCCACCGGATACCTGCTTCTCCCTCTTCCACTCCCCCTGCTTGTGTTCCCTCTTCTGCTGTGTCTCTCTCTGTCAAATAAATAAATAAAACCTAAAAAGAAAAAAAAAGATTTCAATTTCATCCAGCCTTGCAGCTCCCCACCTCCTACTGTTCAGCTCTAAGGCAACACTCCCACAGTCCCCTTCAGAGGGTGAGATAGCAGCAAGTTTCGTTTGTCTTTACTCTAGGATTTTACCCTGGTAGGGGTGAGAGCATCCCAAGTCTATGTGGAAAGGGTCTCTTTTAAATGTCTTACTCTGAGGGCACCTGGTCAGCTCAGTTGGTGGAGTATCTGACTCTTGATCTTAAGGTTGTGAGTTCGAGTCTTACATTGGGTGGAGACATTATTTAAAA